ATAATATATATTATATAAATTACGAAAATTTTAATCTTAAAATATATAATTAAATCTCAAAATTTATTTTCAGGCAAAAAATCAATTTTATATATATATATATATATGCAATTCAAATTATTGAAATTATTTATGATGTATTATTATGATTTATGATGTTTCGAATTTTTATCAGAAATTTAAATTTCATGATGAAACGCGGATTCGATAGCTCGCATGCACCTTTAAATAACGGTTTACATCCAGCTGTCCCTCATTTCATACAGATCTCTACTGTACAATAGGGGTTGTAGACCCTTTGATGCTTTTATGGAATGCATAGCTGTAGACATTTTCGAACATATGTGATATTTTCTAACAATGCTAGTTGGTATAGTGAAAACGAGCTGGATTACTAATAATATATGATATATATTAATTATTTATTAGATTTTTAGTTTCTCTCGTTATTTTTTTTTCATTGTGAAAAAAAATTGTGAAAGTGATTTATGAAGATGTACGCGGAATAACTGATGTACGCGAAATTAGCTTTAACATTTTAGTAAAACTAATATTATTTTATAAAACTAATATCATATATGTTTTAATGCATATATATGATATTTATATCCATATATATTTTAATATAAAATTATTATATGTGTGAATTAATGATTACGGTTGTATTTTCATGTATTTTCATTTATATTGTATTTTCATGCTTTATTGTAATACATAATCTCTAACTTTTTAAGAATTATTAAGAAAACCTTAAGGTGGATATATAACTAGATAGAAAATATTTTTTTAACCGATTCTATAATGTGATTGAGGATAATAAGAGATTTTTCATATAATATAATACTAGAAGGAACTTATTATCACATTCAAGAACTTCTTACATCCAAATATTGTCCATTTAAGAGAATATATCAGTAATCAAATTCTAAAAAATGAAATTATTACTTCAAAAAATAATTATTAAATGGGAATCAAAGAATGAAATTATGTTGTATTATGTTGTACATTATATTTCTTGTTTAAAGCATTTCCATCATAATCATGATCAGAAATTATAATCTCATCAAATATAATTTCTTGTATTATAAATATTTTTTGTATTGTAGATTTACTT